CGTCCCTCGGGAGGCAGACGCCTGTGTGTCTCTCTGGTCGCTGATGAAAGGGCCTAAAAGTGGTTTTCAGGTTTAAATGGGGGGACTTGGTTTGGAGGTCGGGCTTGCGCCCACTCTGCCCGTTAGTGCTGGCATCTCACGGGCGGCGGGGTCACCGCCTGCCTGTGGGCTGAGAGGAGATGGGACGGCTCTGTGACCCCGCGGCACCACCGTCACAGGTGACCATCGTCCAGGTAAGCCAGGCGTTGGGTCTCCGTGCCTCTTCCTGTGGTCAGCGGTGCGTCTGAGCCTCTAGGGTTCCCCAGGGGACGCCGCAGAGAAGCTGACGGTCTTCACCCACGGAGACCCTCGAGGCTGCACTTGGTTCGAGTCGAGGGTGTCCTGTGACACGGGGGACAGCTGTGATGACAGACACCTCACTGCGGACCCTCCGTGGGGCTGCAGGAAGGAAGCAGCTGTTTGTGAATCCTTCACCTTTTAGAAAGACTCTCCGATTTTGGGTCACAGTGTGTAGGCGGCCCGAGGCTGTGAAGTAAGTGTTTAAAAAAATTCCTTCACACTTTCTGTGTGAAGGAAACAAAAGCTCAATGAAAACGAAAGGCTTTCTCATGGGAAACAGGCAGCCACAGTGGCTCCGGCAGCGGGGTGATTCAGACCGGGAGTGCGGGGGTGCTGTTCCCCACGGGGAGCCGCGTCCACGCACAGCTAAGCCAGCCAGGACGCGTGACTCGCTTCCCTTGTGTTGTCACCGAGGCTTCCCCCAGAGAGGACAACATGGTCAGGGAATCACAGGAGACAGCCACGCTGGAGCCATGCTGCCGTGTGACCACAGACCACCCGCGCTCCCGGCACTGGGGGCCGGGGCCGTGGCGCCATCCATCGAGTGCCACCTGTGCCCCCGGGGGTGGCAGTGGCAGCGGTCACATGATGGAAACAGAGGCAGTGAGCACTGTCTGGTGGGAGGCAGGGGCCCCATGTGACAGCAGCTTCCTGGCCTCTTCGGGGAGGTGATGATAATATTTGTGGGTAACGTGACCTGGGTTCTCATGTACCAGCCATGACGACAGGCATTTAAAAACTTTGTTTTGTAAGAATTCCAGATTCACAGAGGGTTACAGAGAGCTCTGTTCCCGTCAGCCAGAGTCCCCAACAGTGACACGTTCCGAGGCAGCCCCTGCCGGCCCTGGGCCCCAGGAGGAAAGCGAGCGTGTCTGGGGAGCCGCGGGGACCCTGAGCCCCCGGCGCCTGCGGCCTGCGGCGAGGGCCGCGTCCGAACCCTTCGGACTGAAGGCGGGTTTCCCAGCGCTGCACCCAAGATGGCTGGAGCGCGTCTCCCGCGGGTGACTCTGTGTTGTGCTCTGTGAATTTACCCTTCACGTGATGTTCGCAAGGCCATGTCCCGTGGTTTATGAAACCATGAGATCTTACTTTACGAACGACCCTCACAGTCCCAGGGAGCCGTGAACGCTGTTGGCAACAGTCGGATGTTAATTAAGGACAGTGACCGTCCCTGCGTCCCTCCGCAGCGGCCCGTGCAGACCCTGGAGGAGCAGCCTGTCTGCCTGGATGGGGGCCGGGGGCCACACTGTCTTTAGGAAGATGCACACCTGCGGGACACGTAGAGGCCTAGAGATTCGCAGAGGTGTCGCCACTGCTGGTGTGGACGTGTTTATATTTGTCACTGATGCGTGATGGGTGGTTGCGCTTCGTGTCACAGAGTCACGTGACGGTGCAGCTCGGAGGCCTTGGTGCACCGTGCAGACACGGACGTGGTGCTGTGCCGCCCGCCGGTACCTGGGGGCGTCCGGAGCTGTGTCCCAAGCGTCAGCTGTTCACACTCTTGGATGCAGCCGTGACGCTGCCCAGGAGATGAGCAGAAAGGCAGCCGGGGTCTCGTGCCCGGACGCTCACGTCGCTGGTGTTGACAGTAGCCGTGAACTGGGGACACCAAAGCCGCTTTGAGTGAACCACTTCTGAATATGCCAGATGCTCAAAATGTGATCCTCAAATTTAAAAAAGCCAGCATATCAGAGTATATTTTTTATTTTGTTAACATGTATCTTTTTATATAAAAAGACTCACACTCCACACCCAGCGGTAGGGCTGGCCAGAGGGCTGGCCGGAGCTCCCGACGGGCGGGGCCCTCCGTGGGCACTTTGCTACAGTCTTAGGCCTTTTTCTGAATCAGACAAATTCTTACTTTTTGTGGAGCTGCCAAATCCGTGCTGAACATTTCCCACCAAAACTACTAATTTTAATTGTCTCTATTACAATGTGATTTGGTGAGCCAGTCTCACCTTAAAGTGTGAGGCCGAGTCTGTCCAGCGATTCAAGAGCAAATTATTTACACCGTTTGTTCTGTGATGTTCAAGTGCAAAGTGGTTTAGAGGGTCCGTTTGCCCGTAGCCCGGCTGTGAGGAGAGGACGGTCCTTCCTCCTCTCTCTCTCTCTCTCTCTCTCTCCCTCCCTCCTTCTCTAATATCCTGGGAGTCAGAGGGACCTAACTTTTTGTTTCTTTTTCTGTTTATAGTAACAGGTAGCCTTGTAACTGAGGTCCACAGCTTAGGAACCGTAACGTGGTGTGAGTGGCGCACTGCTTCTGTCCACAGAGGGGCTGCCACATGGGCCGTGGTGTCTGGGGGTCTCGGTGGCACCGCCCACAGTGTCTGGGGTGGGGGACTCACTGTAAAATAGCCGTTATGATCTGGACCCCGAGGACTCTGGCCGCCCGGCGGCGTCCCCGCCCCCAGGACCCCCTCAGACAGGGCAGGAAGCCCCGCGCTCAGTGGCCGCCCCTTTCTCCTGGCAGAGGCGCCGGAAACGGAGTGGTGATGCTGATAACCTCATCCAGGAAATGCCTCTGCCGGCCACAGCCCCTGAAGCTGCCACACGCGTCACGGCGCCGCCCCATCAGGAAAGCTCTCACTGGGCTGCTATGTAATGTCACTCGGAGGTGACACTGCATTTGATGGCGGTGCCGCTCGTGTCCAGCCTGTGACTTCACGTCGTCTCATTCCTGTGCTCACCCCGTGTTTTCTGGTCAGGTTGGGGGAGGCTGAGGTTGTGCTGGTGAGAGACAGGCTGGCCCTGGCGTCTTCCTGAAACGCAGGAGCAGACAGACACGCAGAGGGTGGGCTCCAGCCGTGTCACCTCTGTCACCCTCGTGTCCTCTGTAGAGTCCGGCTTGCAGGTGGTGGTGGCATAGGGACTTTCAGAAGCCCCCGGGTAGACACGCGGAGGGGACGTCCCCGCATCTCAGAGCAGAGTGGCCGAGGGCCGGGGGCCACTGTCCCCAGGGCTGTCCCGTGCCTGATTGCCGGGTGCTGCAGGCTGACGTCCACCCTGTTTGCAGGGTTCGCTGAGGGCTTCTGGCCGCATCCACACAGACTGGACACATGGCTCCTGTTGTGCTGCACGTGTGGGATTTGCCAGGAGGGAGAAGGCGAGGCCTCAGCCGGCATCGGCGCAGGCAGGCGGGCCTTTCCATGGCCAGGACCCGGCACACGCTCCGTGGGGAGCACAGGGCCGTTGGCATGCAGGCCTGGTTTCACGTGGCAGATCGTCTGCCCGGCAAAGCCTCCATCTCCTCGTCTGTAGAACGGGGCTGCTGGCGCGTACGTCCGGCGCCATGGGCTCTGAGGACGCACAGCTGTTCCCTCTGCTGCTGCTGGGAGGGCTGGCCCGTTTGTCTGCACGAGTGACGGGCCGGGGTCCCCGAGTCCCAGAGGGTGGTAGGTGGGAGCAGAGGGCCAGGCCTGCAGGGCCTCAGTCCCAGGTACAATGCTCTTGATTCTAGAAAGACCTTCGATTAGTTCGGGAACCTGCCTGATCAGGGGGGTTAAATAATTCACAGGGGCCTGTTGAGGAGGAAGGGAAATGCGAGGCCGTCAGTGCAGAGCGTGTCCGTCGCACTCAGGAGCGTGTCGTGTCGTGAGGACCGACGGGCCCCTCGCCGAGGTCACGTGAACAATGGCTTCGCAGACACTTCACTTACTTATGTCAGGACAGAGTCCTTTTCTTTTTCATCTCTTTTTTTTTAAAATTAGTTTCAGGTGTATGAAACAATGTACTAAGTTAGACATTTACACCCCTCACAAAGTGATAATCCCCCTAATCTTCTACCCCTCTGACATCAAAAATAGCTGTTACAGTTCCACTGACTCCACTCCCGCACTCCACTCCACGTCCCGTGACTATATATGTGTATGTAATTATAGTTGACATACAATATTATCCAGCTTCAGCTTCAGGTGTGCAGTGCGGTGGTCAGGCCTCTACCCCCTCCATGAAGCGGTCTCCCTAACAAGACATGTGACCGTCTGACACCCTACAGAATCTTTACAACATTATTAATTATATTTCCCAAACTGTCTTTCACATCCTGTGGCAATATTGTAGTTACCTGTTTATACTTTCTAATCCCTTCCCCTTCTTTTTCATCCCCACCCCCTCCCAACTAGCACCCTCAGTTGTTCCTCTGTGTCTCTCAGACGGTTTCTGATTAGTTTGCTCATTTATTCCTTTAGATTCCAATATAAGGGAGATCATATGGTATTTGTCTTTCTCTGACTGTCTTATTTCACTTAACATAATAGTCTCTAGTTCCATCCATATCGTTGCAAATGGTACGATTTCATTCTTCTTTATAGCTGAGTTTCTTAATCCAGTCGTGTACCGATGGGCATTTCGGCTCCGGGACTGCAGACTGGTGCAGCCACTATGGAAACCAGTATGGAGGCATCTCAAAAATCTGGAAATGGAACTACCTTATGACCCAGCAATTCCACTCTTGGGTATTTATCCAGAAAACCCCAAGACACTAATTCAAAAAAATTGTGCACCCCTATGTTTATTGCAGCGCTATTCGCAATAGCCAAGCAAAGGCCAGAGGCCTTTTCAATGGAAAGTTGACACGTCCGATGGTGAGGGACACAGAGCTGCCCCCCCCCCACAGCGGCACAGGCACGGGAGGGACTCTAACCTCTGCTGTTCCCTTCCAGCCCGTCCCTGCCTGCCCTCGACTGGCAGCTGCCGTCACACTCGGGACCCTACGAGCTGAGGATCGAGGTGCAGCCCAAGTCCCACCACAGAGCCCACTACGAGACGGAGGGCAGCCGGGGGGCTGTGAAGGCGTCGGCAGGAGGACACCCCAGCGTGCAGGTACCGTGGTCTGCTCCCACGCCAGGCACTCGTCACCGGGTGTCTGTGGGGACACCTAACACTCTCCTGTTTCTCCCTTTTAAAACCCATTGTCACGTCTCGAGCAGGTGGCTGCATGTTTTTACATAGTTAGGTCCTGGCCTCCTCCTCAGGACATTTGGTGGCCGGGCTGGGGCCCCACACAGGCCCTGCTGCTGCGCTGAGAAGCCCCCACTCCCCCACACACTCAGGCTCGGCGTGGACATGGGAGACTGTGCCCCGGGACACAGGCGGTCGGCGCCCAGAAGCCTGGCTGTGGTTGGGGACCGAATGGCTGATGTCCCCACATCAGCTGAACGCCGTGGCTTGCAGTGTGTAGGGGGCGGGTCATAGGTGACTTCAGCCAACAGCCTCATTGTTCTCCGTCTAGATGGACACTGTCCGTCCATCCCCATGGCCTCCTGAACAGGCGTATTTTGGTCAGAAAAGATAGGAAAGAGGGAAACGAAAAGTCAAAGAGAGACATCTTGGCCAAGAAGTCACCTGGGCCACCGCAAGTACGCGACTCGCTTCCCGGGCGGCAGCTGGTGGGCAGGGTGGGCCGGGCGTCTTCTCTGCCACGTAGGAGACTTGACTCTGGGTGCTGTTTGATTTTCAAGGTTTCCTAGAATACAAAATTTAAAAGATAATAAGTGTAACCTTGAAATACACATTTTTATCTCGAGGACCTTTTCTGTAATCAGTCAGCAGAAAGGTTTGTCAGAACCATGGGGAGCGCTCGTCCCCGCTTTTTCTGTCCAGCAGTTGCAGTGAGAATGTCAGAGGCTCCCGACAGCCTTGCCGCCCATTTCAGTGCAGCCGCAGGCATCGTGTCCATGCCCGCCAAGCAGGTGGGCACAGGCCTGCTCGTGTCGACACCCCCACTCAGGGACAGGCAGACGATGGGCATGCAAGTGTCCAACTCCGTGGTCAGGGCCATGTAAAGAATTGAAACCCAGCTGTGCTCCAGGAGTGGCCGGGCACCTGTGGGGTGTCCGGGGGAGGCCTGGCGCCCCCCTGCCAGCCCCCCTGCAGGCCTCGGCCCCGCGTTGGCTCAGGTCCGCCTGCTCACAAGTGGGCTCAGCAGGGAGAGCCCTCGCTCTGTGTCTGAGACCCCGGACCTCCGCCCTTTAACCTTTGCTTCCTGGGGCTGCTGTCAGACCCTCGGGTGGCTGAGCTGTAGCCGTGTCTGCTGACACAGCCCACAGAGGCGTCCTTGGCCCAAGGTGAGCCCCATGCGCAGGGAGGCTGCCTTTGGTTTGAGCATTTTTGGTGGATGGCGTTAAAGACTCATCTGTCCTCGCGAGGGCCTCACGTGCTTTAAGGCCGTGGTTCTGTAAGGGTGGTCCCGCTGTCTGGCCCACCCCAGACCGCTCAGTGAGGCCCCCACTCAGGGTGCGGCCCTGCAGTCCCCTCCGCGTGGACGACCGCTGGGAGTGTCAGGCCCAGGGCGGTGCGTTCTGCCTCCCAGCGGGGACAGTGACACGGAATGTGGCCACGCCAGTTCCTCTGCCAGTGGCACCTGGGTGCCCACCCCACCTCACAACACGGGGAAATACGGTTCACTTGGCGCCAGACTTAGCGCGTTCATCGGCTGGCGGCCGGGGGTGCCTCGGTCACCAGGACAGGGACAGTGTGGCCCACCGTCCGATAGTCGTCAGCCTTCTCCACCCAGGATGTGAACTCCCAGATGGGCTGTTCGGCAGGCGTCAGCGTCCCCTTAGGTCACAGGGTACCTACAATAATAAGCTGGAAGGCTCCCCAGGGAGACGGTGTGACAGTCACTCTGCGGCGACTTTGGCCTCGGCCTGCGGCTCCAGGCCGTGAGCATGAGCATTGACAGAGAACGTTCTCCCTAGCCCGCGCCCCACCACACGCCGGGCGCCCCGACCCTGCTGTCTAGGGAAGGACGGCGTGCCAGGAGGGTGCTCAGCAGGGGCTTTATTTTATTCCACTTAGATAAATGAAAAGCTTGCGAGGGAGAGAAGGTGTGGAGACAAGTGGCTGTCTGCCAACGCGGCAATCAGCGCGGTCGGGAAGGTGCGTGCTGCCAGCTAGTACCTGCGTGGCTAGCGGCTGGCCTCCGCGCAGGGGCCAGCTGACATTTCAAGTCGCCACCTTCCCAGGTGGAGAGAGGCCAGACAATGCCTGCGTTTAGCCGTGCCCCATAACTACAGGCATTTAATTCCCTTTCTTGCTACAGTTTCCACAGAACGAAAGTGCGTGGTTGCTGAATGAGAGACATATTACAGCAGCGAGGAAATAAGGAAGGAGATAGGAAAAGAAAGCAGCACAGAAATAACCGCCGAGGCCCCCGTGGCTTCCACGCTACACCGGGAAGGGGCCCTGGTCCGGGAGGGGAGAGGGTTTGTCCTTGAAACAGAGAGCACAGGGCTGGCGGTGGCTGTGCCTGCGCACGTGTGACTGAGAGCTGTCCCGGGTGGGGGGTGAGCGGAAGGCGGGTGGAGAGCTGTGGGCTCGGCTGGTGGCCCCCCGCTCGGTCAGTCCCGCACGCGGGTGACACGCCTCGCACCCTGCCCCAGAGACCGTGCAGTGCTGGTGTCCATTCTGCCGGCTAAGTGTCCTGGGCACTCGGTGTTCACCACCAGTGTAGACAACGCTTAGAGCACTGAGACCTTTTGGAGGAAACTTGAAATAGTATTTAAAAATATCTTAAAACTGTGTTCTCAGAAGTTATTTCAAACTAAATGATGGCAAAATGGGAAAGGCTGGTTATGTGTTTAAACAGAATGAACGCCCCCCCCTCCCTGTGCCCCCTTAAAACTGAAACCAAAAAGCAAACAATGCCCCCCCAAAAATGTCAGGCTGTCTCTATCGGAAGCCCTCGTTTGTGAGAAATTAGTAATGTAGGGTTTTCGTGTCCACCTGTGGCCCAGTGAGCTTATGTCTGTGCAGGTGTGAGGTAAGCAGTTAAAAAGAGGGAATTTGGGGGGTTGTTTTCCTTTTTGGTTGGAGGACCACGAATTGGATAAAAATAGAATTTGCACATAATTATAAAACAAATGAAAATAGAAGGCTCGCTCCGTCGCCGTGGAAGCTCGGTGACCACAAAGCCTAACTCTGCGGTGAGCTATTTTAGCACAACCTCTGACGCCATCGGCCTGATGTCTGCGCCCTCACCTCCCTCTTCAAAAAGGTGGTGGCCGCAGTGCCTGCAGCAGGACACAGACTGAGCCACAGAGCCTTTCGGGTCCGCCTCGCCCGTGGGGCGCTGAAGACATGTGGGCGGAGCCAAGGCGCTTTCGCAGACGGAAACGTGCTGTCTTCACGTCCGTCCAGCTTGTGAGACTTCCTTCTCCGTTTCCAAAAGTTTGTCCGAGAAGCCAGAGCGTGCGATCTGCAGAGGTGCGAGCGTGGGTCACGCCCGTTCCCCCAGCACCAGGGACACAGGAGCCGCCCAGTGGCCCCCTGAGCTCTGCACCCGAAGGTGCTGTGAGCTGAAACTTGTAACCTTGTTTCTAGGCAGAACAGACAAACATTTGAGGTTAGGGGAGACTTCAGCATCACATGGTGTCGCCCCATCTTTATTTGGGGACACAGACGTGCATGTGGCTCGCCCGGCGTCGTCCAGCGGGGTGCTTCTAGGACGCCGCCCACCTCTTAGGGTCCTTCCTGGATTCATCAGTGGCCCTGGGGGTGTGTCCGGCAGGTTCTGCCTGGGACCCCTTCATGCCCTCCGCGCCACCCCCTGGTCGGCTGGGGTTGGGTGGCATGACGGCCACCGGAGCAAGGCGCCTGCTCCCCCGGGCATCGGAGTGGCCGGGCCCCGTCTGCCCGGAGCCCCACCCCTGGCCTCTGCGTCTTGTTATGTGAGACGAGCCAGGCAACAACCTTACAGACTGGCCGTCTCCCGTCAACCAGTGACGCGGGCACGTGCGTAAGGATGGCGTCCGGCCGTGGGCACCGTCGGTGCCAGTGCCTGTCCACATCTGCGGGCCATCGCTGCAGAGGCAGGAGAGGCCCAGGAGTGTCACCCCCGAAGGAGACAGCGTCCGTGCTTGGCCCCTGAGAGTGCTTGGGGAGTGCTGCCAGCGGTGCTGGCAGGACAGAGGGCACAGGAAGGATAGCAGCTGGTATTTTACATCTGGTTCTGTTTCTCCCGAGCCCTCAGTTCACTCGGCCTTCAAGACGGCAGCACCGAACCCTCCAGGGCTCAGGATCAGGGGTCTCTGGACTCAGGCAGCGCCCCCACCCGCGAGGGCACGTTCACAGCCCCGCGACGGGCAGCACCTCGGCGTGGGGTGGCTGGACATTCCGGGCCACCTGGGGCTGCTCGCCTCTGCCCGGGTGGGACGCAGCCTGGCGCAGGAGTCAGGAGGGACGGTTTCTGCCACCTTCCCTGGGACAGGAGAGCAGAGGGGCCGTCAGCCTGCGTGGAAGGGGCCTTTCCAGGGAGACGCGTGAAGGCTGGCCCTCTCTTGGCATTTTTACTGATAAACTGGAAAATTATGTCCCTGAAGAGCCGCCACCTTCTTCAGACAACAGCACCGAGGCTCCGGGAAGCCGGGGGGTGGCCTGAGTCCCCGCAGCTCGTCCTGCTGTCCTCTTGTTTTCCTGGCGCCCCGTCTGCCTTCATCCCCGTGGCCTCCATCCGAGGCCGCGCTCACCCGCCTTCTCTGCCGTCTGCATGCTTGCTGTCCCCACAGCGGGCGAGTGTCCAGCGAGCTGCACAGACGTCTGCGGAGTCCTGCGTCCCCACCCCCACGGGGGCGTGCGGAGCCTCTTGCGGACGGTGCTGGTCTCTGACCCAGGGGTCAAAGGCTTAAGCTCTGTTTACCCAAGTCACCAAAATAACTTTCTCGATAGCATCTAGCCCATCACACAGGAGGCCGCCGGCTTTGTGTGAATAATTAATAGGTCCCTGAAACATGAAACACAGCGACGAATTTGTCAATTCCTGAACAGCATTTTAGGTTTGTAACTTGTTTTCTGGCCAGTTATGACTGAGCAGTGTACCCCTG